AACGTGGCCAAGGACACCCATCCCAGGTACGGGATTCAACGGGCGGGTGTCAGGGGAGCACTAGGCAGCCACCAGGGTACATGCAGTATTCTGCGGGCTTGAGCCACCTGGTTGGGTCTCAAGACCCACGCATGCCCCCGCCTATGCCTGAGTACCCGCGGCTACAGACGCAACCTCGGTACGGACGTTTGCCGTCGGGGTACTATAGAACTCCAGCCATGGCCTTTATGGGCAGACCTCCCTACCAGCAGGAGTGGGACCCATACACAGGTTTGGGTAGTGAGGATACCCCGCGGGACGCGGCCTCACCGCGTTTAGATTCCCGCTAGGTAATCGCCGCCTACTCATCAGCTTCGGCTCCCCGTCCAATCACGGTACTTTTGCCAACGGCTAAGATTTGGGTATGGGGATACGGTGGCCGGACCATTCAAGTAAGAGCCCTACTGGATACAGGGGCTCAGGGATGTATTGTATCGAGTAAGCTGGTGAGTAGGCTAGGCCTAAATGTACGGCCAAGTGAGGATGAAGCTGTAGGCATCGGGGCCTAAATGTGCCTGACATTCGGGGTCAGACGAACTTTGAGTTCGCATTAGGTAGCACATGTACAGGGTCAGCTATCAAGTCTCAGCCGTGGTGCTGGATGAAGTGGTTGGGAAACTCCCTCAGGTTAGGTTACCACCAACGGTACGAGGGTTAACCACAGGGTTGGAGTTAGCTGATCCTGATTTTGATACTCCTGGTACGGTGGACGTACTTCTCGGGTCAGACGTCCTCGGGAGATTATGGTGCGGTAGGAAGAAGGTACTCCAGGAAACTGGTTTGGTGGCCGTAGATACCACAGGGGGTATGTTGTTTTCGGCCCAGTTTGGAGACCTCAGGACCTACCAGAAGGGGATCCGGTCCTCTATGGTAGTGTGCTGTCAGAGGTGCTGCAGAGGTTTTGGGAGTCTGAAGAGCCGCGGCGGACAGACGGAAGCCAGAGGATGACGAGTGCGAGTTGTTCTATCAATACAACACTGCGAGATGCCCGTCAGGCAGATTCGTGACCAGGCTACCTTTTCTCCCAAACCGCCCCGCTTTAGGTAGTTCGCGACAGCTCGCGGAACGGAGACTACTCGGAATGGAGCGGAAGATGAGGCGAGACCCAGCACTTCGGCAGAAGTATAGAGAATTCATGCGGGAATATATTCAATTGGGCCACATGTCGGTGTCCAGCCTGGATTGGAGGTGTGTCGAGCATTATTACATTCCACACCTGGCTGTCTTGAAGTCACCTGAGGCGAAAATACGGGTGGTGTTTGACGGTTCTGCTCCTACCTCGAATGGTGTGTCTGTGAACCAATGTTTGCACGCGGGTCCTAAATTGAACCGGGACATTGTGGACATTCTCACAGACTTTCGGTTACACCAGGTAGCGTTCGTCGCAGACGTCAAAATGATGTTTCGCCAAACCATGATACATTCGGATGACCGTCGGTATCAGCTGATTTTGTGGCGTGAGAGCCCAGATGAGCCGATGGTCACATACGAACTTAACACGGTGACGTATGGACTTAAGCCAAGTCCGTATTTGGCAGTACGTACGCTGCGAGAGTTGGCCGCACAGGAAAGGGTAAGATATCCTCGAGCCGCAGCAGTACTGGATCGCGACGTCTACGTGGACGATATCTGCACGGGTGCTGATAGCGTGGAGCAGGCGCTAATTCTACGAGACGAGTTGATCGCGATCATGGGTTCAGGAGGTTACGAGTTGCGGAAATGGTTGTCCAGTTGCCCAGAGCTCCTGGCCGGTTTGCCAGGCGAGTTCCATCAGGACCCGCACCTCTTTGAGAACCCGGACAATCCAAACACGTTGGGCATCCTCGGGGTGCAATATAGGCCAACGCATGACGTATTCACGTACAAGATCGAGCCCGACCTTTGGAGAAAACTTGGACTAAGCGGTCGGTACTGTCGACAATCGCTAGAACGTTCGATCCTAGCGGATGGATCGCCCCGGTTACGTTCATGGCGAAGTGCTTTTACAAAGGTTGTGGCTAGCCAACTTAGGATGGGACGACCAACTCTCCGGAGAGTTGTTGAAGGATTGGCTCAAGTTTGTGACCACCTTACCAGGGATTGTGCACATCGCGATACCCCGCAAGTTAGTCCCATCGGTGGGATGTAAGGCTACCCTACATGGGTTTTGTGACGCCTCGGAGCGAGGGTACGCGGCAGCTGTATACCTTCGGACAGCAAGTTCAACGGGAACTGTGCACGTGCGTCTGGTTATGGCCAAAAGTAAGGTGGCACCAGTCAGAACTAGATGGACCATCCCCAAATTGGAATTGGCAGGGCAGCTCTTCTAGCGCGCTTGCTAAATCATGTAACCTGCAATCTGCGTGGTACCATCAACTTGGATGAAACGGTGTACGCGTGGACTGACAGTCGGATAGTTCTGTGCTGGTTGCAGACGTCGGTACATACACTTGAGGTTTTCGTGGCAAATCGGGTGTCACAGATTACGGGGTCGGAAACTCCGTTAGTGTGGAGGCACGTACCGGGAGAATGGAACCCAGCGGACTGCGCTTCGCGCGGGTGCAGGGCACCTGATTTGGTGAGTCACCCACTGTGGTGGGGACCTCAATGGCTGACTGAGTCGCCGCAGGAATGGCCATTCAACGAGTGCAGGGCGCCGCTTGGGCCACCTGATCGAGGTTTGCGAGTGAACGTGGGGCAACTCGTACCGAAGCCTAACCCAGCTTTCTTGCTGGAACGGTATAGCTCCTCGACAAACTTCTTGGGGTGACAGGTTGGATCAAGCGGTTCGTGAACAACTGCAGGAAGCCTCAAGCAGAACGGAACTTTACACCTGTCCTCTCGCCTGCGGAGCGGAATGCGGCTCTATGCTCATTGGTTAGAGTCGTCCAGGCGGAACATTTTGAAGAGGAGGTCAGGCTGCTCAGGGATGGACGTGGAAAGCTGAAGGGAGGAATTGTGCGCCTCAACCCATTCCTGGATGAGCAAGGTATGCTCAAGGTTGGAGGCAGACTTCGAACGCTAGCCTGCCCTTTTCGGCTCGGCATCCACTGTTACTTTCAAAAAGGGGACCCTTAGTTGAGCTCTTAGTCAGGGATCGTCATGAGAAAAACTCGCACGCGGGCTGTAATGCGCTATTGGCCATCCTACAGCGCGAGTTCTGGATCTTATCGGGACGACGAACGGTACGTAGCGTTGTGTTTAGGTGCTTGCCTTGTTACCGCTTGAAGGCAGCCACAATGTAGCCACAGATGGGAGATCTCCCACCGGACCGGGTGACGGAGGCCTGGACGTTTGCAGGTGTGGGAACGGATTTTGCAGGCCCTTTCATGGTAAAGGCATCACGCCTACGGAACGCAAAGTCTATCAAGGCGTACTTGTGCGTGTTCGTGTGCCTAGCCACCAAGGCCGTCCACTTGGAGCTCGTGGCCGACCTATCTACGGAGGCCTTTTTGGCAGCGCTGGAGAGATTTACGTCGCGACGAGGGCGACCAGCGCCGATCAGGTCGGATTGTGGTACCAACTTTAAGGGTGCTGATCGGTGTATGAAGGAAATTGTAACGTTTTTAAGGGAGAACGAAGAAGCCATCAGCACGGGCCTCTCCCGTCAGGGCATTACCTGGGTGTTCGATCCACCAGCGTGCCCTCACTGGGGTGGTATTTTTGAAGCGGTTGTAAAGTCCGCTAAGACGCATTTGTTGCGCGTTGTAGGGTTAACAATTTTGACTTTCGAGGAGCTGGCGACCGTGTTTTTTAAAATTGAGGCTGTACTCAATTCGCGTCCTTTGTGTCCGCTCAGCTCAGACCCAAATGATTTAGAGGCCCTGACGCCAGGGCATTTCTTAATTGGCCGCCCACTTAACGCCTTGCCGGAATATCCCTATACGGAGGTGAATAGCAATCGTTTATCAGTTGTTGCAGCAAATGACTCAAAACTTTTGGAAGCGTTGGTCGCTTGAGTACTTGCACATTCTGCAGCAACGGCTTAAGTGGACGGACAGGACTGAACCCCCCTGCATTGGGGATCTCGTTCTGGTTAAGGATGCCAACCTACCGCCACTGCGTTGGCGCCGGGGGCGCATTCTCAACCTGTTTCCGGGTAGTGATGGCACTCCTCGAGTTGCAGAAGTTCAGGTGGGGGATTCAGTCCTTAAGCGAGCAGTAGCTACATTATCACGCCTGCCATGCATAGAGCGGACCGATGGGTCGGTCCGGGGCGGGTGAATGTTTAGTTTTCGTATAAAATGGGCGCGCGGTGCTGGCAACACTGCTCTGTCATTGTCACGTCCTCTGCCGTCGCCCGCATCGTGGATGCGAATCTTAATTATAAATGGTGTAATTTAGTGTGCTTTCGGTTTTCTCGTGTGGTTTTCCCTGTTCGGTGGGGAAGTGAACCAAGTGATTTTGGTTCCGGCGCTTTGATTGAGAGTCACGCGACCGCCGGCAAAATATAACCTCACTTTTCGTTGGCTCGCGTCGTGGCTGCCGATAGCTACGTATTTTAATTATAAATGATTGAGGCCAACGGGGCCGATTTCTCATTCGGAGAGAAATCTTTTAGTTATTTTGTGTTAAAAAACATTATGTGATGTCGAACTGTGAACTATAGTGCAAATTGGAGGAAAGGAGTTCGAGAACGAGCGGATGTTCCGGTGCCGTGAGTTTAGGTTATTCCCTATTCCTGTGCTCCTCAAATATCCTGAATACCTGATTCCTGTCATACTTAAACTCACAAAGAAACGGCGTCATCGTTCGCTCGGTAAGCAATTCGTTGCTGGGCCCTGTTTAAGTAGATTTTGGAAACAAGAATTTCTCGGCCGGAAACTTTCCGGAACAAAATTCTCTCATTAAATTTATTTTATTTAGCTATAGTAAAGAGCACTACGAATCGTAGTCAAATGTTGTTCCGAGGCTGATCGATCATTTAGTTTTAGATTTTAAGATAACTTTAATTTGCTTCCACTGCGCTAAGATCAGCTTCGGAATCAAACAGGTGCAGTGGTTAGTATGACTGCCTGCCACGCAGAAGGTTCCGGGTTCAATTCCCGGTTGGGTCACTCACAAAGTTAATATTTATCACTTTGTGAATTTGTTCCTAGTCTGGTTTGAACATTGCAGGCTGAGCCACCTGATTGTCCCAAAAGCAAGATGGATCGGTGTTTCGGTTGGGCATTTCAAGCCGTCGATCCCGGTTGCTGTCTATGAGGCGGTCGTTACACAACCATGTCAGAGGCCTGCTATTTGCAATAGGCGATTGAGAAACTCTGACACCAGGGTTCATTGGTCGTTGAACGACTCGGTGTCCCACACGAAGAAAGAGAGAAAGAGACGACACCCACGGGAAAATATGGGATGATGTGCTCTTCTACACCGGCATTATACGGCTATTTTAATGTACCTATCTAAATATTACAGTGATAGTCAGATTGCGTGAACATTTCCTCAAGTCGCTCGAGTCGGCTTAATCAGTTGTTTCATACATGCTTTTCGTTTCTTAATATTACATGAATTATTTTTCTAATTTAACTATCCTCCCTAGTTTGTCCGATCATTATGCTCCTTGTTAAGGTATAATTAATATTTATATATTGTACTAGCTTTCCGCCCGCAGTTTCACTCGCGGTATTTATCTGTTTGGTGTAATAAAAAAGTTTTAAATGCATTTAAAATCCAAAATTTTGAAACAGATTGCATCAAAGTTCACGATCTGGAGTGGAGTTCGACTACTCGACAACAGATGGCGCCACTGCTTAAGGGATTGTAAAAGCCCTTTTATCTTTAAAAATACGCCCTTTTAGTTAAAACGGGAACTTTCTTGTTCGATGGGAGATAAAGGGCTATTGCACAATATAAGTCCCTTGATCGCATAGGGAATCCTTTTTAAGTTTTATCGGCACGTACATTTTATCAACTTAGTTTTATTATATATAATGATTTATACTTATTATATTATATTAAATATATATATTTATTATATTATATATTTATAGTTATTTATATATAATATATTGACATTAGTAGTAGATTTTTTTTATTATTTCTCATGTAACTGGTCTAAGTGCCGTATTGCATTTATTTTTGCACCTGCCTCGTCCGTTTCCACATGCCCTAAGGTAGACTGGTAGATAATGCCCTTGACATTAAGTCCGCCCATGTAAATTTTGCATAAAGTTAAATAAATAAATGAAATAAAATAAAATAGTCACGATTTAGTACTTAGATTTTGTAAATGTAATCGCGGGAGCTTAAGAAGTTAACATTCGGTACCTACATGCCATTAATGGGAAAAGTCTTCTTATCAAACGCTCTATGTTCGTGGTAACTCTATGTGTCTTATTTTCGATCATAAAACGTTAATAAACTCAATACACGTAATATCCTAATTCGTATCTTATAGGGATCTGAATAGTGATAGGTTAATAACAGTTCAAATCTGGAATGACACAAAGAAATTGCTACCGCTATTCAGATTGACGGCGATCTGAGTAGCGGTAGTTATTACATAAGCGCCCCCGCGCACCGTTTCCTTAATTTGTGGCAGTAGGGTGTATAAAACTTGGCCATAACTTGGCCTTCCTTCCGTGTTGTAAACTACTATGAAGGTGATGAAATATGACAGCTACGGCAGAAAATCTTTGAAGTCACTTTCATACAAATCATAAAAGCTCTGTTTTCCGAACCGGACGGAAAATTCGGTTTACGAAATTCACCACTTCTTTGCTTATTTAGGTTAATAATCAACAGCACCTACTTTTATAACATTGATGGATAAAAGGACCAATGTTTACTGGTAATTCTTAATAACTGTACCGCAAACCAGAATACGTTGATCCCTTATCAACTCGATGTTCTAGTGATAGCACTCGGTGAAAAAATAAAATGTACTTGCTCGATATAAAAGCCGAATAAAAAGCCGGATGCAAGCTGCATTCAAAGAGTGAAGATGGCTGACTGTTTGTTTACTCCCATCAAATGTGCCTTGTTAAGAGTTTACAATTGTAGAACGGCACCCCTTCGTCTGTAAGTATATTTGGATCACGTAAATACATCAGATAAACGTGTTTACTTCTTTGTTAAATAAACTGGGAATTCTTTAATCCCCTGACAGACGCAGTTGAGGGGTTTTTGGTTTGTTACGTATGATTTTTGATTATATTTCCTTAGATTTAGCATTTTTGAACGGTGGTGTTTATTTGACTGTAAATACCATTTTTTCAACTAAGTATGTTTATAATTATTGTGAGACGTTCTTTGCTAATCAAATATAAAATAAATGTCATTTTGAATTGTTAAGCAAATACGTAACTCAAATTAAAAGTAGGTATTTGATCCCTAGCAACGTCCAAATTAATAGAAAGAATTTAATTGAAATCTTATACCTACTTACTTCATTGTAGGAGCACCTTTGTTGAATCTGAGATCAGCAATAAAACGGACAATCTTTGATGCTGTTTTACTTGATTTGTTGTCTATTCAAAAGTGACAACTAGTACAATGACACGGAATTAAAAAACGTATCATAACATAAAAACCGCTTACGAACACTGCACAGTCTTAATAACATCTTAAAGTACTCATAACTTCAAGGGAAGAGACATAAATATACCATACCAAAAATAGATCACACACATCAAATTTCCACAATAAAGGTTCACTGCTCTATATCAAATCAACAATACTCCTTCCTCGTTTATTCAACTCAACATTAAATATAGAATAATATCGCGGTTCCTAGCAACGCATAGAATTTCATTTAACTGTATGGGGGATTGGCACAACAGTAGAATTTCAGTATTCACCTATTCACATACAGAACATCTTGAGTAAATATCTTGGAATAGGTATACACTATAGAGTTAAGACAGAAGCTACGTCCTATTTTGAACTAAGTTGGTACCTACCTGTTTTGTAATAGGTAAGTTAGTGGTGTAATGTTGGAAACACGTTTTTTTAGTCTTTCAATATGACTTTTAAATAGGCCGAAATCTAGTATAATCATTTCAAATCCGCTTTAATGACTGCGTTTTAAAAGACTGGGCTTGACATAAAATAAATTTTTGCTATTGTTTTTGTTTTGTTTCAATACTTGTAATACATTAAAAAAAAACACTTTTTAGTAGGTATTTTTCGTTGAAGTTCCTGTTTTTCGGAGTGTATGAATATAAAATCTAGTAGCCATAGATAAGTGCAATCGACCGCAACTGGTGTTACGAATCTTATTTATACTGGTGAGATTTTTAAACATTTCGTTACAGAGATAGCTTTACTTTCAAAGAGTCTTCTGTGTCTGATACTCTGTGCCTCATTTCTATTGGGTTAAGTCTAGCGTGGCTAAGCAATGTATTGGAATGTACCTAGCACCACTATCTGGGAGTACATAAAGTTAGTTTATGTCCATCTCAGCAATAACCGGAATATAAGGTGCTGCTGGAACCACAGCACATATTTGCGATTTAACCGTCTTGGGGTTATGTAAGCAAATATTGGGAAGATTTAGATGTTAGTTTATGTAGGTTATAAATACGAAATAGGTAGCTACGGTTTGTTACGGTTTGTACAATTTCTCACTCCAACTCATGAACAACTGCATTTTTGGGGTTTTGAACAAGCCGGACAAAAACTATGTTGTGCGTTCAATTAATGTTGCTACAATTATTGCTGTAAAATATTACAGTCTGAAAAAATCAAAACCTTTCATTTTGGATTGTCTTACTTATGAGTGAGCAGGAGAGACGGTAGCAGTACAATCCATTTAACTAGGTCTATGTAAGTTCTAAAAAAGTTTGAATGTGACATCAAAGATTTTACGTTGAATCTAGCTGTCATACAAAAATACAATCTTAAACCCTGCAATCTTATTATTCTGACGAGATTTAAAAAAATTGTTACATATTTCTGAACAATGTCTTTCTTAAACTCTACGACTGCGACTGATCTTACGAATGTTATTATTCTGATGAGATTTTTGAACGTTTCAGCGATAGCTTTAGTTTCTTAGCAGTCTTTCTGTGTCTGATACTCTATGAATCATTTCTATTGGGTTAAATCTAGCGCGTCTGAGCAATGTATTGGAATGTACCTAGCACCACTATCGGGGAGTACATAAAGTTAGTTTATGTCCATCTCAGCAATAACCGGAATATAAGGTGCTGCTGGAACCACAACACATATTTGCAATTTAGTCGTCTTGGGGTTATGTAAGCAAATATTGGGAAGATTTGGATGAAGTTTATGTAAGTTATTCATACGATTAAGTAGATATGATGATTTGGGTAGGTATTGATATGACTAGGTATCTTTCAAGACGAAAGAAATTAACGTGCATATTTTAAAGGAGAAAAGGAAAGGTGTTGAGAGCGAGTTTTTAGTGTCTGCCATTTAAGCATACAAGAGGAAGCACACGTAACTGATAATGGGATATTTTGCCAAGTCTGTTTGTTTTACAAAAGGGAGTTTACGAAATCCCGTAAAGAATATATTTTGGTGCACGGTGCCGCATCATCTTGCGGCTGACACAGTCTATCATTATCTGATTGATAGCTTGTAAAAAACACAAAATCATGTAGTGGGTTTTCAGTCTACCACACTCTTATTCCTTTCAATTCTTTGAGAACGAAACTGCTTTTATAAATAGTTACAATATAAGTTTAAAATTGTATTTATCTGTTGTTCTTTAAAAGAGCCTACCAAAGCTTCTGTGTTTATAGCTTGCTTTAGAGAAATGCTCCCGAAAGCTAACTTTTCTTATGGCAAAACAATTAAAACTGTAAAACTTTGCCCGTTCCCGTTTTAGTTCGCAGCGAACGGCTTTCCACCGCGGCTCTTAAAAAAGTGTTCCGTTACATGTGATTTTTTTTCTTTGCATTGAGCTTAAAGAAGGCAGATGAAAATCTATTCGTAGACAAATATTTTTAAACCGGAAATATTTCTTATCTTAATTTTATTTCCATAAATAATAAAACTGAAATTGGTCAATAAGGGTCTTTCTTCAGCACCAGAGAAATCACTGTCTTGGCCCGAAGTTTGCACATCTTGCTATTATAGAGAAACAGTATTT